CCTTCGTTTGTAGCATCACTTTGTCGTCACTGTTGTCAACAATGTTATCAGTCGTTGTCCAGTTATTGGACTCTTTATAAATTCAGAGAGAACGGTCTGGCGGAATACTCGCAAACACGCGTTAAGTTCGTACAGTATGATGTAGTAAATGTCCGGCAACGATAGAGAATGAAATCAGTTTGGAACAACGGTGCCATCTATTAGATAGAGTACGCCGTTCTGTGCCTGTTGAATAATCATCAACGCCAAACGCAGTGCATAAAAGATAACAGAACTGACCTCCTTCATCCCAATAATGCGCACTCCATCCTCCAAAGTCACCCGCATCCACTCAGGCGAGTCAGTCTTTGTGTCGGAAACAGGGTTGAAAGTAACGAGTTTCCCATCTTGCAGCGTTTCATACGAAACAGGGGCATCAGATAGGGAGATACGAGACTTGACGGATATCTATGAGGGAGGATTCCACAGGCGACAACAAATAACTCACAGGAATGATGTGGGCCGAGACCCATCGCTCTACATTTCTCCTAGAGCTTTCATCCAGCTCTTGTTCTGATATCCCAATATGAGGCTCTATCGATTCAGGACCTTGATGTCTGCCCAGCCATGCGTTCAATCACTGTCCATACCATCATATACACACAATTGTCATACTCACGGTTTCCGTGCCAGTGCCATGACAGCCTTGTTCGTCGGTACGAGCATCGTGAACCAAACAGACTCAGAAGAGAATCTAGACGACCACTACCGTCTCTCGAGCATACGAGTAATAAATGCTCGCTGAGGGCTCGATAGTCAGCAGGTCTGCGAGCGTGGGCTGGGAACTAGTGAACGGTGATGCGATAGATTCTTCGTTGGTTTGCGGCATTGGTGGGATTATGATTTGTTCCTGGAAGGAAGCGGATACTACGAAAGGGAAGATGAACTGCAAGGAGGAGCAATAGATGCATAGTGGTGAGGTTGGCAACTGGAGCTCTGGGCTTCAAGCCGAAAGGGATCAAGGGTGATCGGAAAGTGCCGCATGCCCGGTCAGGTGATGTAACGCTCGTGACAAGCGTAACGTTGTTCCATTCCATTTCTCTACGGTCATCTATTCTGTCAGGGTCATCCCCTTTGTAAGTACTGTATTTCAGTGCTCCATGATGACCGGGAAGATATTCAATAACGCCCTTACTGCGACTCGCGTAAAACTATAATAGATCTCATATGATCAAACACTCAGACTAGCAATCGTTACGAGATCAATGAATTGCTAACAGGTCCGTCTTCGATCGCAAATGCACAGAAATTTCTACCATTGCATCGTGCTGTCTCAATGTTCTAGCTCGCCGTGCGTTATACCCCTACTTCGCCGCCCGGTGATGAATTATCATGTGCGCCCATGCGGTACCGGATGCACGTTGTGGGCCCACAGGACGACACGCTGCAAGTACGTTTCCATACTCTGTGGAGTCGCGCGATATATATGTATTTTTATGCCCTGAATGTAGCGTGTCATTGAAAAACGCCAAGCACTTCCCAATGGAGTGTACGTGGTCGTCTTGCCAATCCGAACATTAGGGGCACAAAAATGCTAGATGGGCAGACGCCTTCGGTACTCATCAATTATGAATTGCACGGCTCAGAAGACACCACTAGCACGTCCGTTGCGATTGTGTCTTGCGGCTATGAGGTATTATACCAGATCTGTGTTCAAACCAATGGTGCAACTCTGAACTTCTTTCTTGCCCACAAAACACCAGTACGGTCACTTTTGGCTCCGAGTCAACATACTGGGAAATACAAATATAAGTCGAGATTACTAGTAGGTGTTCATATAAGGGAGGATACAGTCCCAAAATCTGAAATATCGAATTGTATGCTCTTAACAACAGGTTGCGGGTAGCCGCGGCCGGATGATACACGCGAAGAAGCACTGATCACCTGCAAATTGCACAGGCTGTTGTCGTCAGAACACTTTGGTCGGCAACGTGGAAGGACGAACGACATTGATCATATGCCAATATACATGAACACTATGCGCTGGTCCAAGGGCATGTCCTTCTCCTGAGCCAATGAGTGGACCGCTTGATGCAGCGCTCGGGCAGCTCGCTTGGAATTCAATTTGCCATCCCCGCAAAAGTTTTTGTAGTCGACTAAGCGCTGCACAGTACTATCGTTGCCATTTTAGAATGTCTCAACGACGCTCTTAACCCCAGCGTGGGCCAGCTGCCGGGTGTATCACCTCGTCGGGCGTTTCGAAGTCACCGACTGCAGTTTCACAGGCAGAAAGAAATGCAAATTGATGCTGAGAGAGATCCATTTGGGTGACATCGAGGAGTGAAAGCGGTTAGTCGCGCGTGAGAAAGGCCGAATTGAAGGGTTCGTCGTATTTTTGTTTCCCGTGACACGCGAAATGCATCCAAGTATGATCTCGCAACGCGCGCAGTGCTATCGATTTCGTGGCATCAACGCTCGTTATTTTGGTGAAAGAAACTGTTGGAGGATGCGGCAGAAGACTCCGCGCCAATTCCAGCTCAGGCTCCACACTATCCAAAGTGAATGAAGCACCGGCTGGGATATTCTGACCAACGACAGCAAAGGGTATCGACAGGCACCTGTCATGACTTCTGCGAGCCTTCATCAGCGCAGTAAGCTATGGCGTGTGTGAAGAGACGTATTACTGACGTATTACTGCGAAAGGGACCCTCCATTTGCCCTGTACTCGCCAGCAGCGTGCAACGGCAAGAAGTTGAAGAGAGACGTCGGGCACCATATTCGGGAACCTCGTGGTGCAAATTCGCCCAATTTCTCGACCACCGGGCGGACAACATTGCCCCACAACTCCCTCAAAGCTTTTGTCAGCGCTGGTTGTTTCCCTTTAGGACCAGCCTCTTTATGAACTGCCTCCTGGAGTGCGTCCACCAATCTAGCGAGTTTCTCAAAATCAGTAGGGAGTTGAATGCTGATCGGAGGTTGTTTGTGTGGGATAATAATGGCATTACAAGACGACTTGCATGCAACAAGCACGATGATAGGCCCATCACGAGCCGCCTCTTGAAGATCGGAGAACAAGGGCGGGAGTAGGAAGCGAGAGAAGCCCTCGATCTTCGGGACCTCTTCACAACTCCATTCCAGTCCTCCACTAGACGTCTGTACCGAGTTGCTGCTGCTTCTGCATTGACCCTTGGGGTCCTATCTGCATGGCTCGCAGAAGGTTTATCAAGGAGGGAGCCGAGGCCTCTGAGTCTTTGCATCAGGGCCGTTGCATGACCGCCGTGTGTCTGAAGGCTGTCAAGAGGCGTGCGTAGTCCCGTCATCTGGGTCCAGACGGCAGACCTGCCTTGTTCCAACAACTCAACAGCGCGACGCACGTCACCACTACGAAGAGCACAGGATACAGCATCCACAGCAAGTGTACTTGGGAATTCCTTTATGGCGTTATGGCGAGACGATACAGAGACTGTTACAGACATGTAAACGTCCAAAAGTTGCATGGAAGTCGCATATGCCTCCAGTTCGGTGCCATGCGAATGTTGACTAGCATGGTGCACCCAGTGTAGACTTGCTCGCAAACGAGATAGAAAACCTCGAGAGACGACATTTGCTGCTGCCTTGAGATGATCCATGACAGCATTCAGACTGCCAGGGCCATCGATTCCTGATTGATAGAACAGTAGATAGACTGTGGCTAGCGACTCATGAACCTATAATTGACGAGGATCATACTGCGTCAACAGAGTCAGTGCACAGTGGAGATTATCTCGCGACTCGTTAAGGGCTTCTTCGTTGCGTCGGTGCTGGAAGCAGGTGGAGAGCGCAAATGCAAGGTTATGTAATGACTCAGGCCGAAGTGGGTGGCCGACTCCACGTAAAGTCAATGCTTCCCTGTGAAGTGTGATGGCCTCATCAAGGTCTTGGTCATTACTTCGGTGCTTGGAGCGGGTGGAGAGTCCACATGCAAGGTTAATTAATGATCTGGACCGATCCACGTGACTGACTAGGCTCAAAGCCAGCGCTTCCCTGTGAAGTGTGATAGCCTCATCCAAGTCCCGACCATTGCCTCGATCGTTGAAGCAGCTGGATAGTCTACCTGCAAGGCAATTTAATGACTTTGGCCAATCTGAGTGACCGGCTGGGTGCAAAACAAGCACTTCCCTGTGAAGTGTGATAGCCTCATCCAAGTCTTGGTCATTACCTTGCTGCCAGGACCAGGTAGAAAGGCTGTTTGCAAGGTTATACAACAACTTTGACTGATTTGGGTCACCAACTAGATGTAAAATCAGTGCTTCCCTGTGAAGTGCAATAGCCTCATCCAAGTCTTGGTCATTGCCTTAGTACTTGAGGTGAATGGAATATTGATTGGCAAGGTTGTTTAATGTCTTGGTCTGATCTGGGTGACCATCTGGGTGTAAAGCCAATGTTTCCCTGTGAAGTGCCATAGTGACATCCAAATCTTGATCATTGCCTCAATGCTGAAAGTGGGTAGAGAGTCGATTCACAAGGTTATTTAATGATTTGGACTGATTTGAGTGATTGGCTGGGAGCAAAGCCAGTGCTTCCCTGCTAAATGCGATGGCCTGGTCCAAGTCTTGGACATTACTTTGGTGCTCAAAGTGAGTAGAGAGCTGATTCACAAGGTTGTGTAATGACCCAAACCAATTTGGGTCACTGACTGGGACCAATGCCAGCACTTCAGTGTGAAGTGCAATAGCATCATCCAAGTCTTGGCCATTGTCTCAGTGCTTGAAGCAGATGAAGAGTCCATTTGCAAGACTGCTCAATGCCACAAACTGATTTGGATGACCGACTACATGCAAAGCCAGTGTTTCCTTGAGAAGCATGATGGTCTTGTCGATGTCTTGACTATCGCCTTGACACTGGAAACGAGTTTGCAGCAATACACCCAGATTATGAAGCACTTGCCCTCAACAAGCATGCATGGTGTTGTAGTATCCAAGGGCACCATAATGGAGGAATATCACTTCATCTAAATCATGGGGATCATCTCTCTGCAAACATTATGTGACTCAATGAGAAAGTTGATTTGGTGATAGCAGAAGCATAGATGCAGCAAGCTGCTCCTGCCCAAGATCATCTGCACCAGTGCTTGTAGCTGGATACAGAGTCAATGTTTCAAATGCAACCAAAGCTGCTCTATAAATGTGGCTGTTGGCATGGTAAACATCAAGGACTTCATTGAGTAACCCTTTGGCCACATTAGAAGCCGTTTGATTCCCCTGTTTCGCAAAAAGAGTGACAGCAGAGCAATGGCAAGATGGAGTTGAGTGACAGGTTGGTCTGGATGACCAGTGGGACATAAATAAAGAGTGTCTTGAAACAGATTGATAAGGGTGCCAAGGTCGAGGTATATTTCATTAGCTTGGCAACTAACAAACTTTACTGCTAGCTAGATTGAACTCTGCTGCAGCATGGCAGGGATGACCCATGGGGCAGAGGCCAAGAGCACATTCAAAGTGCTTTATGGACTGGTCAAGATCCCCACTTGTCTGCATCCTGCAGTATCGTGTGAGAAGACTATGTCCAGCATCTGTCTCTACCGCTAATGCATCCATATTGCCAGATGTAGGCTATGCATTGCAAGCTCTCAGCATTGGAATGTCAGATTGCATTGACCACTCACAATAGTAAGGGGACAATGAACTGCAGCGTTGTTTTCATCTGAACTTCGCTGCTCCACTGTCATGAACAGTGTTACGAACTAGGATAGTTCTAACAACAGATGACTTGATAAGAGTCAGGACCTCTGCCAAGATTCTACACAAGACAATAAGTCAAGCATTCAGTGTAAGCTAAGTCAGAAGGAGTGCTTCTAACTTAAAGTACAGTTCAGATGACAAGAGATTGGAGGTCTTGGGCGAAGGATGTTCCAGGTAAAACCTAGTAAGATTAAAGTGCAGAACTAAAGCATACAAGAGAACTATTTATAGTGAGCTACAAGTACTTTAGGGCAGACATGAGAGTGGTTATGAGTCAGAGGTAAAGGATGTGTAAGTAATAGCAAGAATAGGTCATCTAGCAATGGCAACAGTGGTTGTGATGTAATACAAAGTATGAGTCAGAGATAAGTCTAGTGGCAGCATCATGTGGCTTGTGACGTAATACACAATAGGAGAGAAAATGAATAGGGGCATATGTGATTGTAACATTACCCCTTGTTTAGAGACAAAGTCACCGACTTTAATTATCCTGGTTAGCCCAGTAGATTGGGTCAGCATCATAGTTAGAGTCCAATAAATCATCCTGTTCTTTAGTCATGGTAAACTGCAATCTATCAGGCAATCTTGGCAGTGCAATAGAGAGCATCCTGCTCTGTCTCCCAATGAGAGAGAGCTTCATAAAAGCCTGAATCAGTCCAGATCAATGGGATCACTGCTTCATCCTTTCAGATCTTTACAAAAGACCAACAAGTGCCCAGGTGCATCAGCTTTACAAACCTGACAGTAGTACAATGGACAATTCTTGTGATGGTGTCCAGTGGTATGGCAATTGTGACATATGACATTATCGATGGTTTCTGTTTTTACTGTAGTGATGGTGGAGGTTAATGGAACTGGTGGTGGTGATGGGGATCTGGAATGTTGTTTACAGTTTCTGGTGATGGTAGGGGAGATGGATGGTTCTTGTTTACTGATTTGGGATAATCTTTGTCTAGTAGGGTAGTGACGCGTAGTGGGTGTGATGGGGGTAGGAGCAGGAGAAGTTGGTATGACAGGTACAGCAGCAGGATCAAGAACATTATCATGTATGCTCAATGGTAGGCGATGAAAGAATCAGTGGTGGGATTGGAATGGCAATGTGTGGGGATGGGGGTCTTGCCACTGGGTTTGTAGTGATTTGTTCTATGACGATATGGATAGCCTCCCTGATAGCTTCCTTAGTATCATCAGGCAACAGATGGATTGCAGTATTGTGAATGCATATATGAAGGTGGTGGAAGATAGGTCTTGTGACATTTATCATCAAGAAGATTGGCAGTGCATTTGATAAGGCTAGTGTCTCTGATGATTTGGATGATAAGTCCGCTAGAGATTGTTACAGTAATGGTTACCCCCTATCTCTTTTTCCACACTCATGTGTATTACGTCGTGACCGCACCAGGATGTGCCATCATTAGACTAACAACCGTCTATATCTGTATTACAGCATGACCGCCACGTGCCGTCGCTAGCTGACTCATCTCTTATCTCTGACTCACTTATCTCTTATCTCTGACTCACCTCTTATCTCTGACTCGTCTCGATGACATGTACGTACCGGCCCTAAAGCAGGCCTTACCTATATAAGCAGGTCCTGTACTTAGATAGTCTTCACTTTAATCTACTAGGTTTTACCTGAACTATCCTTCGCTTAGGACCTCCAATCCTAAGTCGTCTGATAACCGATATTCAAGCTAGAGACACTCTCTCTGACTTGTCTTAAGAACCTTACATTTGTGAGGACATGATCCGACTTTAGGCGTTACCCTTATCGGGAACCTATCGTCGCGCCCATCCTAGTCGACCTACGGTTCGCCGTAACAAAAGATTAAAGTCTCCACCACCGACCCTCTTATCAAAGAGGTTATACAGAACCTAGAAGAACTCAGCGAGAGAACGAATAACGTTCCCCTGAACAGAAGACATTACTCGACCAGACGCTCAGAATGTCCGCCATTGCCAACACCCCAGAACTGAAAGCCGGAGCTCCGTCCACTTACGATGGAAGCCCTCAACAGGCACTACGTTGGTTGTACGCAATAAAAGCGTACTTCGCGCTTAATGCTACGATCTACAACACCGATGAGAAGAAGGTTATTACCACTCTCGCATATATGACAGAAGACAGTGCCATGGGTTGGGCGCTCACCTTCTACACAGAAGTCGACAACTCTGCCTCCAAATCTTATGGGACCTTTGTGAATTTTGAAACCAAATTCAAAGAAGCCTTCGTACCTGCCGACGCTGTCGGTACCGCCATGAACAAACTTAGAACGTTGAAACAGACGGGCGATATTACATCTTACATCGCCAGCTTCAAAACCCTCGCCGCACAGGCCGGTGTTAAGCAAGATGCCATCCTAATCACGTTTCTTAATGACGGATTGAAGAAGGGAATCGTTAACTCCGTCTACCAGATGGAAACCATCCCTACAGACTTCGACAAGTACATCGCCGCAGTCGTCAGGCTTGATAGCAACTACCAGAGGGGTGTCGCATTTAGATCCAACCATCGGATCACCACCAAACCCTCTGGCCAGCGCTATGTACCCAGACCTTCCATTGACCGGCACGACCCAAACGCCATGGAAGTAGACCGGCTTACTGAAGCTGAAAGAAGTGACCATATGAAGAAAGGACTGTGCTTCACGTGTCACCAGAAAGGCCATCTCACTAGAGCATGCCCGCAGAAGAAGAAGATCCCAGTTCGAAGAGAGGAAATGAACGACAGTGAATCAGACAATGAAGATACAACGGTCCGTCGCCTCGCTGAGGATTTTTAGTATGGAAGACTGGATTGACGTCAGTATCTTCCGATGTAACCATCAGACTTGTACAAAGTATTGGAATAAGGAAGGAACTTCGTGTTCCCATTTCCCTCATCTCCAAAACCTGTCTGAAAACCGTCGAAACAACAGCCGTTGTAGACTCCGGCGCTGCCGGAACCTTTATTTCCGAAGAGTTCGTCAAACTCACGGGATTCGAACGCATAAACTCTCGAAACCATTTCTGAGTCACTAATGCGGATGGAAGTTATGCGGCAGGAGGCGCTATTACCAGATATTGCGTCCTCATCATCAAAATAGACAACCGATCTATGATCGGAAAGTTTAACATCACGAGGCTTAGCCGACGTGATCAGATTTTATTGGGAATCCCCTGGCTACGCGCTATGGACCCGATAATCCGATGGAAAGCAGAAACATTGGAACTTTCCAGAACTGAGAAAAGCGACCAAATTGAAGAAGAAGTCGATAGAGAACGAAAGAAGAATAGTTTGCCTCCCCTCTTCCGTAAAGAGGTAAAAGGAAGAGAACCGATCCCAGTGGTAGTATTGCCTAAGGCGCCTCCTAGGAAAACGGCTGAAGAAATACCGCGCGCTACGATTGAAGAAATAATCGATGAAGAAGCAGTCCCATCAGCGCTGCCTGATCTGGACCCCATACCTGATGACGAAGATGACTCCTTTAATACCAAGGACGACGTATGGATGACCAGCTATGCACCACCTGTGCGAGAAGTCTCCACCTACCATCTCGAAGATGATGAGTTTTTAGTCGAGTACCCCGCCGACACCTCCGAGCTTCGGGTAATCACCAACGTCTCGCTAGACACCCCGTTGACAAAAGATGGGACTAGTACTTCGGAACAACATCAACCCAAGATCACACCTCTACCCCGACCCGCCAAATATATCAAAACTAGTAACAAAGCCCAGCAATTCGCACTAGCTGCTGGACTTGAGCAGAAGAAGAAGTCATTCGAAGAACTCGTCCCCTCTTACCTTCACGACTTCGCCGATATCTTCGCAAAAGATGGCTTGAATCAGCTACCACCGGAACGACCTGGAATAGATCACCAGATAGACACCAAGCCTGGGTATGTTCCGAAGACGTCCAAAGTATATCCATTATCCGAGAAGGAACGGGTGGCAGTCAAAACATTCATTGACGAAAACGTTCAGAAGGGATTTATCTCTGAATCAAAGTCGCCACAGGCTAGCGGATTCTTTTTCATAGGAAAGAAAAGTGGAGATCTTCGTCCTTGCCAAGACTACCGGTATATCAACGAATGGACCGTCAAGAACGCTTACCCGCTCCCATTACCACTTTCCCTAGTCGCCCGGTTACATGGTGCCAAATACTTTATGAAGATGGACGTTCGGTCCGGATACAACAATATCCGTATTCACCCAGATGACCGATGGAAAGCTGCTTTTACTACGGAATACGGGCTCTTTGAGCCAAACGTTATGTTCTTCGGACTTTGCAATT